AAAAAAAAAGAGAATATATTACTCTTGTAACTTAAAACACACTTTAAAAGCACTTCTAAATAGAACATGCTTCATGTTAGAGTAAGCATTTTGGATACTTTGAGGAGAGGAGACACTGAAATCAAAGTAATTTAAAAAAAATTTTTTTAAAGCCCAGCCAGGGGCTGGGGCTGTAGCTAAGTGGTACAGCACTTGGGTAGCATGTGGCCCTGGTTTCTATCCCAGCACTGCAAAAAATAAATAAGTAATAACAATAACTTAAAAAATTAAAAGCCTGCTGGCCCGTGTTTGCTTCAATCTGGCCCCAGCAGGGGAGCAAACAGCTCAGGGCAGCTGTGACATGACAATGGGGAACAGAGGGCACATCAAGATACTAGGCACAGGTCCTCGCTTGCAGAACTCAGGCAAGGCAGGCCAGTGGAATGGCCTGCCAGTGGCTGGCCTCTGGAATCCAACAGCAGCTGGAGGGGCAGCACAGTGGGGGGCTCCCTGAGAAGACCCCCAAGCCCTGAAGAAACTGGGAGAGAAGAGCAGGCCAGGGAGGAGGAGGGAAGAATGCCTCTTCCCTACATTCTCCCAGGCCACACAATGTCCCTGCCAGCACCCAGAGTGAAGTCCCATCAGACAGCCTGGGAGCTGGTCCCAGGGCCAAGAGAAGAGCTTCCCAGGCAGAAGCAGCAGACAGGGCCATGCCCAGAGGAGCAGAGCCTAGGGGACCCTGATCCTGTGAGGCTGCAGAGCAGGAGCATAGGAAGGCAGGCCAGGTGGGGAGGGCAGGGCTGGGAGGAGCCAGCACCCAGCAGTGCAGGTCATAGGAAGCCACCAGAGTGACAGTGTCAGATCCCACTTAGGGAATGACCTTCATAGCAGGGGGGCTAGAGGACCCCTCCACACACAGGGTCTGGAGTGGAGACTGCTGCCTGGTAAGTCCTCCTCGCTGGAGAAACAGTCCAGAGGCCTGGTCACCAAAGGACACCAGTGCCCCTAATGCTTTCCTGCTAGGTGCCTCAAGGCAGTTCCCCCAGAACGTCCCCTGCCCCATTTCTCACGAGGCAGGCATTCCCCTTCTCAGCCCCAAGGAGACACAAGCCTCGAATGAGGGTGCAGTGGACACTCCTCCCTGACCGCTCCGCCTGTTTCCTGAAAGTTTTAATTTCCCCTTATTGTCTGTCACTCGCACAAGAGGCTGTTCCAAGGGCCGTTTTCAAACTTTGTCCTCACCCTTAAACCCAGTTTTCAGCTGTCCTATGATGCTCCCCGAGGCTATTTTTCTGGCCCTATCACAGCTCCCAGCCCCCTCGCCAGGCGGGAAGGTGACAACCGCGAAAAGGAGGCCGATCTCCTCTGTGGGGGCTTCGGGTGACATCACATCCTCCAGTGCGAAGTCAGGCTCTGAGGCCGGTCGAAGGGCAAACTTCCCCGTCCTCGCCCCGCGGTTCCTGAGCGCCGCAGTCCACCGCGCAGGGATCGCGCCATGGCCTCGCAGGGGACCTCGTGGCTGCTGCCGCTGGCGCTGCTGCTCGGTGAGCGCGGGCCCAGGGCGCGCAGCGGTGCGAGGTCGACAGGGCCGGGGCCCGTGGGGCCGGGAGGCCGGCAGGGTGCGGCAGGGTGAGGGCAGGGGCGCGGGCCACCTGCTCAGCCCTGCTGCTGCCCCCCGCTGCTTCCACTGCAGGCGCCGCCGTCGCCCTTGGGTCCATCCAGTTCCGAATGCTGCCGCCGAGGGTGGACGCGGAAATCGGCCGGCGGCTGGACCTGCGCTGCGAGGTGATGACGGCCAGCGGGGCCCAGAGCTGCTCGTGGCTCTACCAGCCGCCGGGCGTGGTCGTCAGGCCCACCTTCCTCATGTACATCTCCACCCACCGGACCAAGCTGGCCGAGAAACTGGACCCGCAACAGTTCACGGGCACGAAATCCAGAGACAGCTACACCCTCACCCTGAACAGCTTCCGCGAGGAGGACCAAGGATACTACTTCTGCACGGTGGTGGTCAATTCGGAGATATCCTTCAGTCCCTTGGTGCCGGTCTTCCTGCCAGGTCCGGGCGTGGGGCGCGGCGCCTCTCGGCATGGGGCTTGGGGTCACCTCTGAGCACTCCTGGGGGCTACTTTGATGTGGTTTCCATTACACAGGCGTGGAAACTGAGGCTAAGGTGTGCTAGGTGGGGACCAGAGGTGACTTTCTTTGTTTTTTTTTTTTTTTTTTTTAATGTACGGAGGATCCAACTCAGGGCACTCAACCACTGAGACACACCCCAGCCCTATTTTGCATTTTATGTAGAGACAGGGTCTCACTGAGTTGCTTAGGACCTCACTGTTGCTGAGGCTGGCTTTGAACTGACGATCCTCCTGCCTCAGCCTCCCAGCGGCGGGGATCATAGGCGTGGGCCGCTGCGACGGCTGGAGGCGGCTTTGGTGCCACCGACCATCGCTTGTGTGGCCCTGGGCAAGTGTCTTAAACCCCTGCACCTGTGCTTGCTGGCAGCAGAACCCGGTTGTTAGCCAGACTCACAGGTTGCTAGCGAGCCTGGCGGTGCTGCTGGAGCGCACGCTTCCGCATCGCGGTCTTGGTCCCGCTCACAGAGCCGCCAACGTCAGGCCACCGCATTGGCCGCCACTGGTCAGCGCGCGTCCAGGGGACCCTCCTCCCTTGCCCCAGGGGAAACCGAGAGGAGGCCCTCCCATGGGGAGAAGGGAAACCGCCGGCGCGGTGCATCCACAGCCCAGTCGGCCCCAACCACCCCGTTGCTCCTCCCGCAGTGGAGCCCTCCCCGACGCCCGCGCCGCGACTACCCACCCCGGCGCCCCCCACCACGCTGCTGCCCAAGTCCGTGCGCCCCGAGATTTGCCGGCCCGCGACGGGTGGTGCAGGTGAGGTCAGCGGGTGCTGGGGCCTGGGTGGGCCAGAGGTGTAAAGGACCGCAGAAGGAGGCCTGGCCTGGGACGACCCTGATCCCCTGGGCGGTCCAAATGTAGGGAAACCGCATCCTGGAGGGGAGAAGAGTTCAGGGGGACGGGCGGGCGAGGAAGGATGGGAGGCCCGGGCCTCTTCCTAAACGTGGGCGTCTCGGGTGTTGTCAGCGGACACCAGGTGGCTGGACTTCGCCTGTGACATCTACATCTGGGCGCCCTTGGCTGGGACCTGCGCGGTCCTTCTGTTGTCACTGGTCATCACCGTCATCTGTCACCACCGTAAGTCCCCGGAATCACGACGCTGGGTTCGGCCCCACTCCCACCGAAACCGGGGTGGGGTTCGAATTTCTGGAACTCCCAGTGGCTGCCAGGACCGGGCAGGGACATTCCTTTCCTGAGGTAGGAAGCAGGGAGGTGTCCCCGCCCCTTCCTGCCCTCCAGGAGGTTGTTGGGAAGCATTCCCCGCCCAGTTGGCACTGAATGCAAACTGCAGGCGGCAGGGGACCCCCACGCTCCAGCCCTGTGCCATGGAGGGCTGGGAGAGAAACCTGGAACCCTTGGCGCCTCCCTACCACCCCATCCCCCAGGGTCCCGAGCAGCGTCACTCGCTCAGGTCTGAAAAGGCTTCAGTGTGCTGAGCGCTCAGGAGAGTAGAAAGACAGGCTCCTGAGCCACCAACCTCAAATAGCAAGGAGGGCGTCTGGATCCGCTGGACACTCACTTTCCCTTATTTTTCCTTATCTAGGGAAACGAAGGCGTGTTTGCAAATGCCCCAGGTGAGTCTCTTAACCTTGGTCCTGGCTTCCAGATGGCAGATGGTGAAATGCTCTCCCAGAGAGAGGTCCTGGCAGTGGTGTCCTGGGGCAGGGAGTCAGTTCGTCTGTCTCGGGGAGAGCAGAGCTGCTCCAGTAAATCTCTGTTTAATTGAGAGCCAAAAACCCACCTGAGGGCTTCCACCAATTCTTCCTGGCCCCTCAAATAACAGAGCTCCTCTTTTTCTACATGATTCTGTCTGGATTTTATTGTTAAGATGGCCCCCTGCCTCTTAGCTGGTCTAGGGAAAGTTAATCGTTTATATTCCAAACAAAACAAATAACCTTGGTTCCTAATTTCCCTGTGTCAAAGCAGGGCCTTGATTTGCTGCCAGGGACTGGAGGAAAGGGGATCAGAGGCCGGGGATTAGCTCTCTTGCAGGTCAAGTGACAGCCCCATCCAGTTCCACTCCTATCATTTTGAAATGATCAGAAAAAAAGTTTTTAAGAAGCCCAGTGTCTGCATTCCTTCGCTCCTTCGCCTGAGGGCAGGGCAGCTCAGGTGCTCTCCCCACAGCCCGCTCCAGCTCAAGCAGGCCTGATGGGAGCCATGCTCCGGACCCCCTCATCTCCACAGCAGCCACGGATGGCCGATTCCAGGGTCTCAACTCAGATCACAGCGCTGAGGTTAGGAAACCCACTCTAAGCAGCGAGGCAGGGGTACACTCCGATGACCACAGCTGACCATTCAGCTGAGGACTGAGAGGGCCAACCTCTGCACACTCCAATTCCACATTTCAGCCAACCTTGTACTGAAAAAAAAATTGTGAAACGTGTCTCTGCCAAACAGAGAGGGGTTCTTCTGGCCATGGCTTTCTAGCTGTGCAGTGTGACATTTAACTGGCATTTACGCTGAGGAATCTAGAGGTGATCCAGGCAGTGGGGTGTGCAAGGCTCTATGCAAATACTATGCCTTTTTCTATGAGGGACCCGAGGGCTTTGGTATCCAAGTGGGGGTGGGGTGGGGTCCTAGAACCAACCCTAGGGGATATGAGAGGCAGCTGTTTTTTTTTTTTTTTTTTTAAATGTGTTTTTTTTTTTTTTTTTTAAATGTGAAGTTTCAAGATGATCTTTCACTATAACCTTCGTTTTACAGATGAGGAAATTGAAGCTTGGGACATTTGAGGGCTGGCGGGGGTTGGAGGGCACTGAATGTTAATGCTAACCAACTGCGGCATATACCAGTTCCTTTCAGTAGGCAAAACTATTCCACATTTTACACCTTGGGTTTGCATTTTATTCTCCTTGGTATTTCTTTGCAGAAATCCAAATTCAGCACCTTACACATTAATGGAAATGTAATTAACTTCCAATGTGTATATTATATATACCAAGGTCAGAGCTCTAAAAACTAAGGATTTTTATTACTTGGAGTGCAGTTGGGAGTTTCTCCAAGATAATCCCTCATCTCTTTTCTGAAAACTCTTATTTTTGAAAGGAATCAAAAAATACAATCCTGCCTAACCCTAACCCAAAAGATCAAACACATCTGAGGAATTCACACAGCCACATTCCCATCTCAGTGATGGCCCAGGGCAGCTGGGCTTCGACAGGCATGGCACCGAGAGTCACCGGCCAGTACTGAGAGAACATGTAGTGTGATGTCAAGTTTAGGTTGTCGCAGGCACTCTGGCTCAGGCCACTCTATGTGGCCGACACTCCTCGCCCCTGTAAGCCTTGGATGAGGGCCAGGTCAGTGGGTGGCAATGGCTGGCATGGGGGAGGAGCCTCCTCCTACCTTCCTGGGGACCTTGACAAAGGCTCCACGCAGCTGGACTCTGGTTGTGTGGCCTTGGCAGTTTCTCCCACCTCTCCCACCCAGTGCCACTCCAGCATGGTTGTGGGGGTCAAACCAGATGGAGCCAGAGCAGCACTTGGTACATGGCCAAGGGCTGGGGGGCTGGTCATGGCCAGATGCTGGACTGAAGGGCTCTTGCTACAGTGACAGCCACCACCTCTCTTTCAGACCCGTCATCAGAGCAGGAGGCAAGCCGGGCCTTTCAGAGAGATCCGTCTGACATGGCACTGGGCCACACAACAGCCACTACAGACTCCAACCTGAGACTGCGCCCGCTAGACCACACGGCCTCTTCTTCTGGCCCCCTGGTCTTCCTTCCTGTGTGTGTTCTCATTTCGGTAGTGGGCAGGGTGGGAAGGGTCCTGGGTCCTGTATGTATTCACTTGGCTTCACACAAAGCTTTGTCTCCGGAACGTCACAAGAGCCAGTTGTGTTATGTTCCTGTGGGGGGCCAAGAGCCCAGGGCAGCAGAGCTGGGCCACTGGTACTCACCGTTTCAGCCTCTCCCCACCACTTCTCAGAGGCTGAGCCCAGCTGGGAGCAACCGGTCAGAGTGGCACAGGGGCCAAGGCTGGGGCCTGAGCTGGAGGGAGCCCTACTGCCACAAGGGCTGTCCCCCACACCATGTGGTGCCTTGCAGGATGCCTGTCCCGGACCTCAGGGATCGAGCATTTCTCAGGCCCTGTGAGGTGCATGCGGCTAGGCCCTGAGCCTCAGGGAGGCCAGAGCATCTGCCTGTAGCAGCTCCCAAGGCAGCTGGACTCCACTTTGCACCGCTGTGTAGACAGCACAGGTGCCCACAGCAAAGCTGAAGGACAAGCAGTCCTGGAAATGGATCCGTCTCACAAGAAAATTCCAATGTGGAAGCAAAATGGCCGTCCCAGCCTTTCCTCAGCCGAGGGTGAGGCTTGGAGTTGAGCAGAATCTCCAGTTTGAGGTACCACAGTAGAACATGCTCCTGGAATCCCTGATGACTTCTCATACTTTGAAAGGTCCCTGGAGAGCTCCAGCACATTCCCTGGCCTCCCCGAAGCCAGCAGAGGGGGGGATGAGACAGAAGGCGGTGAGGAGGCTCAGAGCCCAATTGCTGCCCTCAAGTTGCATATCAAACTCAACCCTACAAGTGGGAGACTGACCCGGTCTATCCACTGCTCACACTGATGCATTTTCTTCCCTTGGTTAATAAACATTCATGGTGGCCTTGAGCAGCTAACCAGCTCCCCTCTTTCGGCCGCGCCACACTTACTTTCCTGATTCTCCACTCTGATAGGGGCTCTGCTGGGATTCTGCACACCTAGAGGTGTTACCAGGCCAGACCCACCTCCGCCTGGGCTTCCATGACATACATGGACAGGGATTAGCTGGTTCCATCCCTAACAAAGGGGGGATTAGCCACCTCTTGCTTCACCCCATTCCTTCCTCTTATTCTTCCTTGATAACACACAAGAGCTATCACCAAATCTCCATTTTGTGTTGAGTTAACATGCGTGTAAAGTGAGCACACAGGTCCTCAGGGTGCCGCTCAGGGCATCCCGGCAGGAGCCCACCTGCCCTCTGCTCCGGCCTGCCTTCCACGACCTTGGAGACACTGGGATTACAGGTGTGCGCCACCACAACCATACCTGGCTTTTTTTTTTTTTTTTTAATACCTTCTATTAAAAGGATTTCACTGCTGGGCTGGGGTGCAGCTCCGTGGTGGGGCACCTACCCAGCATGCCTGAGGGCCCAGGTTCTTTCCCTGGTACTCCAAATAAACAAAGAGGATTACTTCAAGTAAAATGGTAAATAACCATTTAGAACTTAAAAATACCCCACACCTGACCAGAGAGAAAACAGGAGGCCTCTCTGCAGGCCACGCTGCCTAAGGCACACCCAGGCAGGCTGTGGATCTAGGCTCAGGGCCCGAGGTGGCCAGATCATCCACCCTGTGTCCTGCAGGCAGAGCACCCACTGGTCCCAGGCTGCCAGCCTCAGGCCCAGCGTCCTACTTGCCAGTTGCAGGCTTGAAGCAGATCATACAAATCCACGGGACAGATGCCTACAACATGGTTTTCTTTCTTTTTTTGGACCCTGAAATGACTTGTTTCTTGGGCCAGGATCTAGCCTTGACACGGCTCACTTGACAAATACTCATTTTTTAAACAATATCATTTTTGTGGAAGGGAAAGATCAGAGAGGAAACCGTCCTTTGTCTCTTTGGCTTTAACACTGCGTTGGAGAGCCTGCCCGGCCTTGGAAACCCTCAGCCTCGCTGTGGTGTGTGTGTGGGGGGGCAGCCATCTGCCCCCCCACCAGCAGCCCCAGGGCCTGGGGGTAAACCCCCCTGCACGGGGTGGTCTGAGGACCACAGAGGCAGCCCAGCAGGAGTGACTCGGGAGAGGCCAGGGGCAGCACCCACAGGTTCTCTGGCAAGTGACTTCATTTCTTGATAACTCGGGGAAAATGGGAGTCCTAACAGTCCTGGCCTCAGGAAGGGGAAGATGGGAGTTCACCCAAACCCACTGCCTGGAGCAGCACTGGACGCAGTGAGCAGACTATAGACCTGTGCTGGAACCCAGGAGTGGCCAGCTCCTCCTGTCCGTCATGCCCACTGCGTGCTGTCCACTCAGCCTCTGTTGTTCTCCTGTTTCCATGTCCCTCCCAAGGGCAACGGTGCCCTTCCCAGTGGGTACCTCAGCAGCCCTCCTGAGAGCAGCCCGGGGAGAGGGACCCGCTGGCCTCTTCCCCACCATCTAGGCCGCTGGCTCCCAGCACGAGTGGGTGGGACCCACGCGATCCCCATAGGAGGAATATTTTTAAAGTCTCATACATGACTTCATCTGTCCCTAAAAAGATGAGCAAAAGGTGCACAAACCAACTCTTGGCTTCTGCCACCTAAGCTGTCAGGGAGGACAGAAATGGCTCCTCTTTCCTCCACGGGATGCTGCCCTCCGACCAGCCTGGGCAGGGCCAGCACAGCAGCCTGGACACAGAGCATCCAGCTGCGGAACCCAGGATGCGCCCAGGCACCTCCTGCCCTCACACTGCTGGTGGCAGAGCCAGGGAGGTGGTGACAGAGACCTTTCCTGACTGAGCGGCGCTGTTCTTGTCTCTCACCCTCCTGCCTCGTCCACAAAACCATCCACAAAACCACTTTTAAATGTGCATTTCTTTAATTTTTAAAAATATACACAGGAGAAGCCATGTGTTTTACATAGGAATACACACATCACAAAGCATTTCTTATAATTTTCCAAAACTCTTATTATATCAGTCTAAAATTTATAAATTAAATATATCAGAATTTTTTTAAGTTAAATGAAATCCCTGAAACTACTAGATATGCTCAACTTTTTCCAAAATCAAATGAACAGAGAATGAGTATGGTGTGTGTTAAGTTGGGGTTTATTGCCTATAATCTATAAGATGCAACTTTATCGTGCCTTTGCAAACAGAATACATCTCTTAGAAAACAGATCAGAATCGTCCATACGTAGAGCTCTATATGATAGATTACAGTGCAACACTATTCTCGTTACATAATTATAGAAATACTATAGAACCCAAGAGCACAGGGTAAGCAAAGAAATATGATCCTGAGCCATCTGAACAAACGATTTGATGAATCCTTTTAGTGTAAATTTAGAAAGCACAAAGGAGGGGACCCCACGCACACACGCGGTCATGAGCAAAGCATACCCAGCGCCTACCCGCCGGCGCCAGCATCTGGATGGAGCCCACAGCCGCTCGCTCCCACCCACCTCCAGCCCCTCCTGGCCCTAGTACATTCACTCCCACCGGGTCCCAAAGAGAAGGTCAGGCCCCAGTGGCCCCAGTAGCTGTGCTGGAGGTGGCTGGCTGCTGCTCAGGAAGCCCATGCACATCCTCACCCAGTGCGGAGGAGCCCGGGCTGCCAGCCAGCTCCGGCCGCCCTGCCTCTTTGGAAGCAAAGGAAGCATGTGCCCACTACAGTTCACAACTGCAGCTTAAAAACACTTTAAAAACCAAATTTTTTTTCTTATTACATCTTAAAGTAAAACCAACAGTGGAAAATTCACCCTAAAACTAACTGCCTCATCTGCTATTAAAATACATCTGTCACTCTATTTTTGGTATCTACTCAACTAAAGTCCCACGGAGTCCATGAAGGGTGAGCTGGGAACTCAAGCTCCACCTGGCCAGGCTGCCAGCACCATGCCCCCAGCCCTGTGTGACGCCACAACAGGCAGCGCACACGCAATCGAGTGATGAAAGGTATTTGGTTTGTCTTCACCTTGCCCATCCTAGTGATGAAGCTGCCCAAACCAGGTCTCCACACCTTCCCTGAAGATGACCTAGTCTGCTGACGAAGCTGACTGGCCAGAGGCCATACTTGTGCTCTTCTGAGCAGCCCGTCCAGTGCAGATGACCAGGAGCTATTGGCCTCTGCAGTTTCTACCACCCCCAGGTGAGACGGTGGAGGTGGAGATGACTCAGCGTGAGACCACCGAGCTGGATCTGCGCCACCTGTGGGACGAGCTGGAGAGAGGACCCCGCCTACACGACCTGGAGTGCTGCTAGGGTCTGTCTAGTCTGCTGCCACAGAGACTGAGACAAGACCTACTCACAGCCTTCCTATTTTCAGTTAAGTGCTCACACACTCACAAATACACACCTATGAATATGAGGTGGCTCTTCAGCATTTTAAAATAAAGAGGCACCAATACCCGTTAATTTATGTATTAGAAGTCTCATATGATCACCCAGGAAACAGAAATGACATCTGTGATGATCACACACAGGGGAAAGGATGGAAACCAACCTGAGCCCTGTGCAGAGTGTCCTGGACAGAGGCTCCAGCTGGCCAATCTGACTCTCTGGTGGGCTTCTGCCAGTTGAGCACAGTCCAAGGACTGCTCCCCGCTGGCCAGTGGAAAAGGCTCTGAGAAAACCTTGGGAACCATTCTGGAACTGCTCTCCGCCTCCACCACCAGTGTGTCTGTGAACACCCCGCCTTTCAGCCAGAGACGAGTGGCATCCTCTGTCTGGGGAGGTGCTGGGACGGCGCTGCTGGAGCAGGACAGGTGCTGTACCGCAGCCTCTTTGGTTAAGGTCTGGCCTCTTCCAAGTCCCTCTCCTGCACACGGAGTTGCCAAGGAGGTTTGAGTCTACACTTAAATAAGGTCAGGAAACAGTTTTTGTGTGAACTGTGTGAAATGTCAGATGGAGAGAACTGCAGACCGCGCCTTGCCCCGCCCAAGGCGGTGGACTCAGGCCCAGCCTCGGGAAGCCATCAAGTCAAATGCTCATTAACACACGTCCTTTTCAGTTTCACGGGCTGCACAGGAAGCTGTCACAAGGACTCCCTGCACTACGAGGGGACGAGGCAGAGCTCTGGCCTTTGTCCTTACAAGTGGCCCAAGCAAACTGTGTAAAGAGGCTCAATGCCCAGAAC